ATGTTGCTGTTTTATCACTAAAACATATAAAGCTTCGCCAATTTGGTTAATCTTGGTGGTGTTTAGGTACTTTACTCATATTGTTAACTTTACCCAAGTCATATCACTCTTAGTTATCATATACCCACTCTCTACGCATCACTATATCTACACTAGCAAGATATGATGTTACGAGTTCTTTGTGTTGCATCATTTGCATCAAGCTATTAGCAATAAATCATCTTTGTCTTTTGCTGATATCCAAGCTACTAGAAATACAAGTATGGCTAGCAAAAGTCATCAAAATGGTTCATACCTTTCTCCATTATCGTGGACGCCAGTGGGATCGAAATAGAAAAAGTGGAGTTGGCTCTGCACTGAGATTGAACATGGTAGAGTGGAAGACTTGAGAAGAAAGCAGGCTCAAGAAAGTTGAATATCTGAGTCTCCGAAGCTGACCCCTGATATGTTCCAAAGAATCATGCCCAAAGGCCAAAACAAAGATGTTAATAATTCCCATCACATAAATCTGAATGATCACACTTAGAAGATGTGATGACAGGCAGTAACTAACCAATACAACATTAGCCAGGCCATTGGATGAGTTAAAATTGGATGAAATTGGGAATATATTTCTAGCCAGACCTATCAAAATATACATCAAACAGAAAATTATGTTGATCAGGATGTGAATATGTACTGAATATGGAGACATAAATTAGGGTAAGAAAGGAATAGAGTTGACATACTCTCTCCAAGAGATTGGTTATTCCCAGTCATAAGTACAGTGATAGGACAGGAACCTGTACTTCTGCAAGAGTCATTAGGCAAGTCTCCAAATGAAAGAAAATCAGTTCTCACTGCTCGAAACTGTGAATCAGGTACTTGTAACAATGGAGGCCATTCAGGTGGACTAGGAATGGAACACGTAGCCACTTGATCCAAATCTGAGTACTGAATCCCGCATACTCTCTCGCATTGACCATCCCCATTTTGATCAATACAAGTGCAACCACATTTGTTGGAGGGTTTATCTAATTCAATATTGACTATTGTTTGTAGTAACACAAGTAACAAACAGAGGACGAGTGGGAATAATATGAGCCTCAGATTTGTCCTGATATTCCTTCTCTGATTTTAAGGAAAATGGTGAGAAACAAAATTAAACCCAACTGTTTATAACGGCATGAGATAAAAAAAAATACAAACAAACCTGAAAGGTCAAATTCTTTCTGAACAAAGCATTAGCTTGAGTCCAAAAACTAGAAGAACCGTTTGTTGAATCCGCCATTGACGGACCTCTCCCCCTCTCTGCTTTTTCTCTCTCACGCACTATCACACGCAACCGTAAACCGGGATGAAATCGTGACCGTTAAAATTGGAATCTGGCGCCAAAAGTAGAACTTTTTGGAAGAACTTAAGGGAGAATCGATCTTTGCTTCTAACTATATATTCTACGGATCACGGATGCCTTTCGTGTTTATTATAGCAATCTTACGGACTCCGACTAAATTGACGGTAATGTCCTTGTGCTGACACTTTATTTATTTGACAGCCATGCTATTTTATCATTTCACCCCCTATAGTATCCCGTATTTACATTACGCCAAAAACTTTTACTTTGACTTTTATATAAACGCGGTTTTGAATTTTGACCGGTAAATGCTTGGAATGCCAACATCACATCTAATGAGATTGAAAGTTTTTATCAAATATTTATTGATATATTTTTGGTACTTTGTCAGAATGTAACTTTTGCAAATAACAAATTGTGTCTAAGCCGTGTGAAACAAAAGGTTATAACTTTTTGTTCTAGTTGAGACTCTTAACGCACCAAACTACAATAATTTTTGTTTTTGGATGGGTGTATTCGTATTATAATATTTTGTTTAATTAGAAAAAAAAAAGTTTAATAAAAAAGGACTTAAAAATAATAATAATAATTTATAATTTGTGTTTCTCATCTTAGCCATGAGGCCGGTTAGTAGGAAACAGTCGAAGGATGATGTTTACCTTTTTTTGTTGGTCAACAAAGAGTTGCAAAACAAATACATATATTTAGTGAAGTAAGATTGTTTGATTGTTTTAATCATAGAAATAACCATGTCAACTGCAAGCATGAGTTGGTTTTTTGTAACTTCTACATAATTTCACTTGCAATTTCGAGTATTGTGGCTTGGAAGATGGGGTAGACGTTGACCTGCCAACTTTAAATTTATTTAATTAAGATCAAGCCTTTACCTTTCGCCTTAACCATGAAGAAAAGCAGCAAAATATAAAATAAAAGTCTGACTCGATTAAATCTGATAACACAACATTGATTAAAATTCGAATAATTAGTTTGCAATTAACATGAATTGTACATATGGGTTTCTTATGGCGGACAAGGCTGCATCACATTGAAAATGTCGTTAATAACCTACCAATAATATAAATATCAAACCAGGGGTGGTCATATATTAGTGTCTCATATTGCCTGACGCTTTGGAGCATGCTGTTGAGGCACAAAATTCCAAACACTCGTCTATGGTATAAACATTAGTACTCTTAGTGTTTCGTAATTGACATCTCATGTTGGCGCTAGGTCGGGTTGATGTAAGCACTTGGATGTTGTTGAACTGGTATTCAAAACGTGCTTTGACTTGGTATTCTGGGTCTTAAGCCTAGTTGGACTGATTCTTCGTTGTGAATGAGTCTTATGTTGATCATCTTTGCACATGTGACAAATAAAAGAGAAATATAGTCGTTAAACTTATTGGGAAATAATAATGGCATTGTTCAAGATCCTGATATACGTTCGGGATCCTAAGACTCCTTTAAGACCCGGGGTCATGGACAGGTTTAAGATCTGGGATCCTGGATGGGATTGAGGATCTTGACCCTAACAAATAGTGTTTTAGTTATATTAAAAATGAAATTTTTACCTTGGATTTTTGGGTCGTTACAATACAAAACAACATATTATGGGTCCAATCATCAATTAAGTTGGAATACCTCAGGTATCCAACCATCGGGTTGGAATGTCAACATACTATGAGTCCAATCAACCATCGGGTTGGAATACCATTGGCCCTCAACCATCGAGTTTGAATGCCAACATACTATGGGTCCAATCAACTATCGGGTTGGAATAATCTCAGCCCTCAACCATCGGGTTGGAATACCAACATACTATGGGTCAAATCAACCATCGAGTTAGAATACCCTCGGCCCTCAACCATCGGGTTAGAAATCCAACATACTATGGGTCCAATTAACCATCGGGTTGGAATACCCTCGACATGTTGGCTTACACACAAAGTAGAGAAGCCTCAACCACCATATGCATGTATAACAGATAATCATATGACAATCTACAGCCAGTCAAACAGATTTAACCGATCACTAAACATAGCAACATCCTATCTACCAAGATACCGATCTGACAGATCATATCATCATAGCAACATCCTATCTACCAAAATATCAATCTAACAGATCATAACAGCATAGCAACATCCTATCTACCAGGATACCGATCTAACAGATCATAACAACATAGCAACATGCATAACATAAAATCAATTCACTAGGCCGACATTGGTGCCTTTGACCCACAATTACAATGAGGAAAACTCACATCACAAGCAGAACTGATTGATAAGATCCAACTTTCAAATCTCAGCTCCCGACTTAAATGCCTACAACCACCATGTGACCATTTCCATCAAAACTCTAATATACCCAAAATGTCCTCAAAAGTTAAACTTGGTCAACCATGGTCAAAGTCAACAGTCAATGTTAACAGCCAATGTTGACCCAACTCGTCCGACGCGTTTATCAACTCCTTTAGTGTTCAGAAAGTCGGGAAAAACCCCAGTCAATTCGCTGAGTTGGCTGGAAAACTCACTGAGTTTTACCCTCTTACACATTCAATCCTTTTTCATCAAGTCCAACGTTTCAATATGTAGATCTAGCACCTAAGAGCTAGAAAGTCACGTAAAGTTGCGAACTTTACGTTCATGCATGCCCTAAAGAGGCTCTAACTCTCAAGGAAAGCTTAATAAGGGATCATAAGCATGAAAGAGGCATAGAACTCAATAAAGTTTGCAACTTTAAGCCAAAAGAGGCCATCAAACGTCCAAATCTAAAGTGATAATTCAATGAAATGATCAACCCCATGAACGATCCAAAAAAATGAGTCAAATATGACAGTAAACTTCCAAGGAAGAGATCTAAGCAATAAATGAGAAAGTTTTCGACTTTATACCTCAAAAGAGCAGCTAAACTCAATGAGATTTTGGATCTATAGGTTTCCCTTCAAGCTAGGCACCACCAACTTCAAGCTCTTTAAAAAAATGAGACCAAATAAGCAACTTTTAAGCTCACACACTTAACTTGTGGTAAGATGCACAAATTCTAGGGTTTTTGGATAGAGGGGGAGATTAGGGAGGCCATCAATGGGACTTAAGGCCTTTAAATAGGGTGCAACACCCTAAAAATTAGGGTTTTCATATTCAGCCACCAACTCGTTGAAGTTTCCTCTCCAACTCGTCAAGTTGGTCCAAAAAGATTTGCGACCTAAAAACTTTCAACACGTCGAGTTGAGGTCATCAACTCGATGAGTTCCACGGAATATTTGCCTTTTTCATAAAAATTCCCATACATGGGAATCGGGATGTTACAACTCCTAAGTGTTCCCCATGCTTTAATCTATGCCTTTCTTTTTGAATAAGCTAGTTAAAACACCATGCCTTCCTTTTTCTTCTATTATTTTGAAAATAAGAAAGCAAAACAAGACAAAACTTTTATATTTTATAAAGACAAAATTGCAAAAATGGTCCCTGTGGTTTGCATTTTTTCAGGAAAAAAGTCCAAACCACGAGTTTTTTGGTTTTGTGGTCCTTTTGGACTGGTTTGTTTGTGAGAATGGTTCCTATACTTAACACCCGTTAAATTCCATCCGTTAACCCCCTCATGTGCCTTGCACGTGAGGGTATTTCTGTCCTTTTACTTATAGGGACAACACTTCCTTCTACCTTTTATCCCTCATTTACAATCCCAAACACCCGTCAACTCCCCACCTCCCTCCTTCTTCCTTCTGCTCCATTAAACCTGCAAAAAAAAAAGTCGTTATCGAAAGAACCTAATCGAAGCAAAAGGAGACAAGGTCATACTTTAAAGTCGAAATGGTGTACGTAATGTGGCAAATCATACCAAAAAATGAAGTTGTCGACGTATCATCCTTATATGGTAAGTTGCTCTGTTTTCTTAAACATTCCTATTTTTCATTTTACCCTTGATTTATACTAAAATCTGCCAAATTTTGACTTTGTTATCATGTACAATTTTGACTTGTAGCGGGTGCACCCACATGGTTTAGTATTAAGCTTCATCATGGTGGGAAGTTTACTAAGTTACCTGACATAAAGTATACTGGAGGTGAAGTGCGTTATGTTGATTATGTGGACATAGATGAGTTTTCTGTACATGAACTTGATGCCATAATGCTTGACCTAGGTTACCCAGACCCACGGATGATTGAATTGAGTGTTGAATCCCCAGTGATATACTACCATTTCAGGATACCCAATGGTGACTTTCAATTTGGTCTTAGAGCTTTAGGGAATGATCAGGATGTTATCAATCTTTCTAAATTTATTCAAAATAACAAGTTGATTGAAGTGTACACAGAACATGGGAAGACAAATCTACTCACATACTTCATGTCTCCAAATGCAAAGGGTAAAGTTGTCATTGAGGAATTACCAGAAAATGATGATCAAAGGGCTAAATATGAGGCTGAAGTTCATGTAGAATCTCCATTGAGAAATATGAACCATGTCAATGATGAACCAATTGGTGAGTACATGTCTTTGATTCTTTTTGGGAGTAAAACTGATGCATTCTCTCCAGAGTATAGAAGGGGTAGAGTTGGGAATTCAAAAAGAGAGGAAGGTTCTTGTAGCAAGAGGCTTAATTTAGAGGATATTGATGATTTAAAAGAGAAGGAAAACACTAATGAGGATGAGATGATTGATGGATGCTACAACACCCCACCCATTAATGATGATGAACAATATAATGAACTTTTTGACAACCTTATGGAAAATTTAAATGGAAGTGATGAGTATGTTGAAGAGTATGAAGGGGATGTTGAATCTGAAGAGAGTGATGAAGAGTATGAAAAGGATGAAGGTGATGATCATGATGGGAAACAATCAGAAAATGAAGATAAAGTGGATGACATAATGGATGAGGAGAACAATATAGAAGATGTTGATGTGGACATGGCAGACTTCTTTGTAAATGTTGAAAGTGATGTTGAAGGAGCATGTATTAATGATGGTCATGAACCTGAAGATATGGAAGTGATCAACAATGAGGAGTATCAAGTCACTGCAGCATTGCAAGATCAACATGTGGTGGATGTTAGGAACCAAACTTGTACTTGCAGAAAGTGGGAATTAATGGGAATACCTTGCAGGCATGCAATTGCAACTCTGAATGAAATGAGCAAAGACCCTGAGGCTGAGCTTGACATTTACAAGTGGGTACACAAGGTGTATTGGCTAGAGACATGGCAAAAAGCTTATTCATTTAAGGTGGAACCAATTAAAGGGAGACCCATGTGGCCTAAAAGTAATTGTCCAACAAAGCTAATCCCTCCTCCACATCACACTCAGGTGGGAAGGCCTAAGAAAAAAAGAAGACAAAGTGAGGGTGAAAGGTTAAGCAAAAGGCAGAAGGCAAGTGCAGGTGATGGAGTCAATGAGATGCAAGGAGAAAATTCCCAAGGGCCAAGAAATGATGGAGTGCAGAAGCTATCAAGGAAACATGTTAGTGTTACTTGTAGCAAATGCAAGAATAAAGGACACAACTCTAGGACCTGTAAAGGGCAAGGAGGGAATCAATCTAAGAAGTGATTGTGGTTATTTGTTGTGGTGCAATGACTATTTAGTTTCTTGTTGTTAAAAACTGTTTGTTTTTGAAAACTTTAGTTATGGTTTGATGATGTGGTTATGTATGGTGCACAGACACTTGTATGCTTAACTTGGTAATGGTTTTTGGTTCCACTCATGTGGTTAATGGAATGTTCATTTTGGTAAATTTATGACATGTATTTTGGTAATGTACTTTTGTTACATTTTGGTTCTATTTATGTGCTTATATCTAACAACTGATACACATTTTGAACACAACTGATACACATTTTGGAATTCATTACAAACATGATGAAGTCAAATTACAACAAAATTATACCATTTTTACCCTGCATCACTTGATCAACAAAAATCCCCACATTTGCCTAACCCTATCCCTTACATAGACCAAGTACTAAAGATAACAATCACAAACATAAACCAACTTGCACATAAATACATCTTCAGCTTGAAACCTTCATCCTTCAATGCATCACACCTTGCCTCCAACATGTTGTTCCTGCTCAAAAGTCCATTGCACTGTTCCTGTAACATATTGATACTTCTTACCAGCCCATTACATCTTTCCTCCAATGTATTTATGTTTCTTAGAAGACCAGGTATGATGGTTTTACTCCTAGCACAAATAGGTGGGTCAACCCACCCGATAAACCCACAAACAGAATCCTTAGTAGGGCAAGCATAAAACCTCCTGCCGGGATTCAGTGGTGTCCAAGACGTTTTCACCAAAGCAAGCTTTCCACAAAAACAAACCACCATTGTTCGATTGCAAGTCAGGAAAGGAGAAATGGAAGATAATAGTCGTTGGGGAAGAACAGTTAAGAACGTTGGGGAAGAAGATTTGTTGGGGAAGAAGCTGGGAAAAGAAAAGAAAACGATATATAAAGGATGTTTTATTTTTCCATATGCAAAAATGGTCCCTATAAGTAAAAGGACAGAAATACCCTCACATGCAAGGCACATGAGGGGGTTAACGGATGGAATTTAACGGGTGTTAAGTATAGGGACCATTCTCACAAACAAACCAGTCCAAAAGGACCACAAACCCAAAAAACTCGTGGTTTGGACTTTTTTCCTGAAAAAATGCAAACCACAGGGACCATTTTTGCAATTTGGTCTTTTATAAATCAAGTTTATAAAATATAAATTTTAACTTTTTTATAAAAGACAAAAGAATTTATCTAGTTCAAAATGTTGTGCATGACTTATTAATTCATACCACACGAATTATGCAATGTTACTTGCTAATGAAAATCATTATTTCCTAGTAATTAAATAATTTCCAAATAAATTATAAGAATTTATGGAATATTTATTAAAATCAATTTCTAATAATAAATAATCAATTATATCAAGTTATTAGTGTGACCTGTTAGTATCATATGTTAATTAACAATATCACTTTAATATGATTCTTGAACATACCAGATCCTTCATTACAATGATCATGTAACAAGTAAACACCTAATTGATTTTATGTATTCGAAATATGAATTAGAATATCTAATGATTTCTTGTCTATGATCAAGAGAATTAATCAAGCACATAACATGTATAACTAATGTTGTCTAACAAAATCAAAGCTACCAATTAATATAATCTAACTTTAGGATTTGTTCAATCTTCAGATCTAACTATTTAATGATCATAAACAACTAAATAACAAGTTAATGCAATTAGAGTGATCATCTAACTACACATAACTTGAAGATAAGCAATAGAAAATTAGAAATTTAGTATGCTAGGTAGTTGATATATCAAACACAAGAAAAAACCAACTAAATAAACCAAAACAAATCAAAATCAACATATAGTTTCAAGGATCTTCTATGCTAAACAAAAGTCCAAGGTTTTTAGCCTATAACTAAATTAGAAACACAATAAAAATGAAGTAAACTTTGAAACACATGATTAAAACAAAGCAAACCGAATAATTAATCACATTTTTGCTCCTGATCTCTTCAATTCTCATTCTTCAATCGATCTCTGGCCTTCGTAGGGTTTCTAGGGAGTTTTTGGTTGTAATTAGTCGCAGATAATTGCAGCTCCCTTCAAAATCTGATATAATGCCCGTATTTATAATGTTTCCAAATATACGTCACCGCATCGCGAAATTGTTTCCTTCACGTAGCCTCCACGAAACCATGCACTTCAACCAAGAATCTTCTAACGCTTGACACGTTACCACGGTGTGGTAAGAAATATCAGTCCGTGGTGGGCTTCTTTTGTTAGAAATATCATTAAATTCGGATACACTTTCCTCAAAGGTGGTGAATGAAATTTATACATCTATTCCTCTCTCCTTACTTGTCTTCTACTTTTAAGGTTTAGGTGTAATCCATTAGAGACATCATCCTTTTGGTGCTAGCTTTCCAAGCTCTATAAAAGAAGGATTTAAGTAACTTGTTTGTTATAACAAGTTTGAGGTATGTAACCTCGATCTCTTAATTTCAAAACTGCTTGGGTTCATGTTAGATTTTGTTATTCAAATTGTGTTTTTTTTTTTCCGAAGTGAAAGTCATACATTCTCTTAGGTTGCATGTTCCCTTTCTTAATTGTTAAGTGGTTTTCCTCATTGATCATTTTATTATAACCTAATAAACTGATCAAGATGATCACTCCAATTGCATTAACATGTTATTTAGTTGTTTATGATCATTAAATAGTTAGATCTAAAGATTGAACAAATCCTAGGGTTAGGTTATATTAATTAGTAACTTTGATTGTGTTAGATAACATTAGTTATCCATGTTAGGTGCTTCATCTATTCTATTGATTATAGATAAGAAATCATTAGATATTATCATTCATAGTTTGAATACATAAAATCAATTAGGTGTTCACTTGTTACATGATCATTGTAATAGTCGTTCATAAACTGTTTAACGTTAGGAAATCAGATAAGATAACTAGTACATTAGAAATCGGTAACCAACTAAATATTACATTGAATTGAAGATATCAACCATACGGAGAAGTGATTCGAAGCCAAACGAAAGTGCTCTTTAATCTTGATTGAAATTGTTTTATGTTTTGCTTGCTTAGTTAAAGTAATCGTAGTTAATTAATTTATTTTAGTTGATGAATTAAGTTTTTCTGAACCTGTAAAATCAGAGAAAAACCTTTATTTACTGTTTTATTCTTAGTTTAATTAGTATCAGTAATTTTTATTGAAATCATACTCGTTCTCCTAGTGTTCGATACCCTTTCTTACAGTAACTATATTATTTCGCGACTAGATACATTACCTAATTGTGTTTTAAACTGGTTGAGATCTAATAGGATAACTAAATTTAAAAGTACCAGTGCAAATAAACGCATTAATCAACAAGACAACAATGTTTAGACTAATCAAGGCATCGTACAATTATATATACGAAAAACCCTCGACTGCAAATTAGGTTTTCTTGAATCAGTTGTTGATGAATACATATAGACGAAGGAAGGCATGTTGGTGACAACTCATGTGAAAGAATTTAACTCAATTAGATATAAGTTAGGGGGTGTTTGGATAGGGAAAAAAAGTAGCTACTTATTGCTTATTGTTTATTCTCACCACAATAAACTAAGTTGAAGTGTTTGGATAGGAAGCTTAATAAATCAGTTTATTGTGGTAAGAATAAACTAAATAAGCTAATTTTAATAAGCAATGAAGGAATGCTTATTGCTTATTGCTTATTGTTTATTGTGGTAGGAATAAACTAAATAAGCTAATCCAAACACTTTTTAAAAAAACTGTTTATTCCCACCGTAATGAGCTAATAAGCTAAAAACATATTATCCAAACACCCCTTAGTATTACTTGAGATTAAATTTGATGACGTAATTCATACTTTGATGTTATCATCTTTATTATGTTGGTCGTATACACGTATAATGATGAATGGTTTATTGGCAACTATGAGACCTACATTCAAATGGATTAACAATTTAATTCTTATAGATATTCATAGAAATAACATAAATGAATGTTCGAGTTTCTTGTTAAGTGTGGAGGATATGTGTAGAAATTCTTATAGATGTGAGGGTAACGATGAAAATTAAAATGACGAAAAAGGGCTAGTCTATATACAAGAAATATATTATTTATTGAAATGGCAAGGAGAATTGACATTTCAGGAATCAATATTGGATAGATGCTTTGTTGTGCTAGGTCACTGACATATCATTTTTTGTCTTGATTTTTTCCCAAGAATGGATTGGATCGAAGCCCTCCTTAGGTAGCCACCGACCTATAATTATCCTTAAACTTCTGTTCTTGGTGGAGAAGAAGCGAACAAAAGGTACGCTCGGATTTTGACGCATTAGTAGGATTCATTATTTTCTTCTCCACAGATACCGAGATCTATCCTTAGATAGACACACTAGAAAGTTGAACAAGAAAGTTGAGACTGGCTTGTTCATGAGGTTGGTTCAGGAATTTCTGGTTGGGTAAGGGACGACCACTCAGTTCAGAAGCTCATTGGCATTTGGTGATAGTTAAGAGTAAGCATTCAAAGTGTGTGGTTAATTACTTTGGTTACAACATCAAATCCTTATCAACTTGATAGAGGGAAAGACATTGTATAAACTAGAAGTGTTTAAAGTTTGATAAACTAAACTAAAGGGATCAAAAAGAAACAATACGGAAAACCTTGATGTGCTAGCTCGTTATAGTTATTTACTGTAAAATCAAATTTGTCATGTTAATCTAACTTCATCTATTTTAGTTTGCTGTAAAATTCAACAAATTTTGTAAATATCTAAGATTTCATATATTTCTCAACATATTATTAAATCATGTTTTAGTTTTTTAATCCTTTTTTTAAGATTAATTAAACTATAAACATTAATACAAAACTATAATAATAAAAAGTTGTAAAAAAAATGTTTTATTTGTGAGGATTGTTATAAACGAGGTGGTCAACTTGCATGCAACTTCTCGGAAGATCACAGCAGACAACCTTTGCTTTGGGTACGTCTTTCATGACGCATTTTGCCAA